CCACAACATAGTGATACAAGGACCAATTTGTTAAGGTCATGGAATAATAAATATATATGCACCTATTCACATACATGATTTTCTAAAATAGGCATTGCTAGACATAAGCAGATACATAAATATACAGACAGTCATAGCAGGTAACTTATACCTCATTGTCATCAAAAGATCTGTCCCCTAGATACAAAAAAATAATTTAAAAACAAAAGTAAAGGATTAAATTGCAAGAGATCTTCAGACTATTGCAAATGGGCTGGAGAGACGGGAGTGGTCCACAGACAGACATGTGTGAAACATACCTATACACGTTAAAAAATTTTTCAAAAGAGATTTTTTAGGATCAGCAGCTATTGAAGATAAATTGCCTGCAGCTGATGGAGCATTTTCTAACATAGATCACATTGTGGACTATAAATTATGTCTTTTGTTTGTTAGGTTTTGTTTGGTTTTTCCAGACAGAGTTTCTCTATGTAACAGCCTTGGCTGTCCCGAAACTCACTTTGTTGACCAGGCAGGCCCTCAACTCACAGAGATTCACCTGCCTCTGCCTCCCAAGTGCTTCAGTTAAACAAATACAAAAGAATCAAAATCATTATGTGTATCTACTCATTTCACAGTGCAACAAATAAATGTCGATAGCAAAAATAAATAAAAAAAAACACTAGAAACCATGCAAAGAAAAGTAACTGGACACTGCTTTTGATTGACCAATGGATCAATGAAGAAATGGGGGGGATTTAAAAATTCTTAAAATCAAATGCACATGAACAATACCTCTTGCTGCTGGACAATGTGGGCTCAAGCTTTTATCCCTAGTACTTGGGAGGCAGAGGCAGGCAGGTCTCTGAATCTGAGACCAGCCTACTGATCTATACAGAGTCCTAGAACAGCCAGGGGCACATAGAGAAACCCTGCCGAATTTTTTTTAAAAAGGAAGGAAAGAATGAAGAAAGGAAAAGAAGGAAAAGGAAAGGAAGAAGGAATACAGGAGGTATTTGTTCTACTAATAGACAAATAATAATTTAATAGACACAGTTATAAATGAGGGCGAATAGCTATGAGAGCTTTACTAGTTACTTTTTGCATTGATGCTTAGGGGACTTGAGTTTTTTTCTGTTTAAAAGCAATTTAATAATATAATTTGTTAAACACAAAATATGAAAGGGATAGAAAATGATGTTTCTAGAATATGAGGTCGTTCAACAACAGCAACAACAAAACATCCCTATAAGTTATTAGTTAAGAAGGTACCTGAAGCCCGTAAAACAATACAATTTCTCTTTTCTCCTTGTAGTTGTACAATGGAGCATAATTAGACATTGTTGCTAAAAAGAACACTATGTACTTTGGTTTCATTAAATAGAGAAATCAAGCCAGAACTCATCTGGAAGCTTTCTCCCTGACAACAAGCTTTCATAGTTCCAGAACACTCTACAAAAGCCAAGAGAGAGACAAATAATCAATAGCATTCCCCATTAATTAAAAATGGTATACAGTTCCAAAAAGATAGTTCTCAATAGAGGAATGTCAAATGGCTGAGAAATATTTAAAGAAACGCTCAACATCCTTAGATGCTGTAGTATGTCCTTGGGACTTGAGATTTATATTATCTGATTTATGTTTCAGGGCAGGGACTTGGTGATGGTGAAGACGGCACAGCAGCTGGATCAAGTCCACACACCCAGATGTGCATGCACACACAAACACACACAGATTAATCTCTAAAAATGACTCCGGTAGGCAGGAGTAGTAAATGCCTTTAATCCCAGCCATAGCAGGTGGAACTCGGAGCTTGTGGCCAGCCTGGTCTTCATCATGAGTTCCAAGCCAGCCGGTGCTATAGAGAGAGCCTCTATCTCAAAAGCAAACAAAGAAACAAAACAAACTGGCAGTGGTAGCACACGCCTTTAATCCCAGCAGAAGCAGGTGGATCTCTGTAAGTTCAAGGCCAGCCTGCTCTACAGAGCTAGTTCTAGGACAGCTAGGGCTGTTACGAAGAGAAACCCTGTCTCAAAAAATCAACCCCCTCAGAAAAAATAAGCAAAACACAACAAAAAAACAAGCAAAAGATCTGTAGGGTTATTGTGGAATCACAGGTGTGTGGTGTCTTCAGCACAGATCTCATTATAGATGGTCGTGAGCCACCATGTGGTTGCTGGGAATTGAACTCAGGTCCTCTGGAAGAGCAGCCAGTGTTCTTACCCTCTGAGCCATCTCTCCAGCCCATCAACCATATTTTAGAACTATGACCATTCTATGAATTCAGAAATTGTTGTTTTGGCCTTAACTAGATAAACCTTCAATCAGAACTGGAAAAAAAAAAACAAAAAAAAGTTCTTCCTGACGCCTCCACAATGGTGTGCAAAAACCAGAAGCGTCGCCGGGCGTTGGTGGGGCACGCCTTTAATCCCAGCACTCAGGAGGCAGAGGCAGGCGAATCTCTGTGAGTTCGAGGCCAGCCTGGTCTACAGAACCAGTGCCCGGACAGCCAGAGCTACACAGAGAAACTCTGTCTCAAAAAAACAAAACAAAACAAAACAAAACAAACTAAAACAAAACAAAAAGGCTGGTGGGAGAAGCGCCTGACTCTGGAAACCCGTGGTGAAGGAATCTCTGATTCCAAAAACGTCCTTTTTGTCATCTTCCTGGATTTAGTTGCAGTGAACCTGGCAAGCACCGTTTCTTTCACACAAGGCGGAGGTCTCAAATGCAGAAGTCAGCATTGCCCTGTGCCATGCATTTCTAAACACTAAAGAAAACCACAAGGAGGTCTCCCTAGGTAGCGCAGCCCTACCTGGCTTGGAACGCAGTAGGGCGGGCTGGCTTCCAAAGCAGAGCTCTGCCTCTGCCTGCAGTTCTGGAACTGAGAAGCGTTCCAAGCACGCTCGGCCTTGTAGCTCACCCCCTACTAACTATGCCTAAAACCCACACCCGAGTATCGCCGTGTCTGTCATAACAACAACATTCCCCACACCAGTCCCGCGAAGTCCACGGGAACCGGGTCGTCTCCTGCATTTGGGCATCTGTGTCCCTGGGAGGGCGGTGGATCCTT